TGGCTAACCTCTGGATAGAAGGCATTTCTATGCTTGCAGAATGTCTTCAAGATGAAAAGGACTTGACAATTTGTCATTGACCATGTAGATCTCGATAAATGTTGCTCAAATAAGATCTCTCTTTCAGCACCATCGCCACAAATTATTATTTTTTGGCGTTACATCTCACCAGCAGTGGTGTAAGACCCAAGTTTTTAATGTCTTGAAAAACATATCTAATGTGACGTCTCTTTGTAGAACGTTTACATCTGCATCTCCAACATTCTGCTCAACATTTTGAGTGCATTAGGCGGAAAGACTTGGAGCATCGTATTCCCCATTAATTACCTTTGACCCATACAATAAACCCATTTCAGAAGTGTGTGCATGTCCAAGGCCGCCATTTCTTAAACGCGGATCCCGAGTACGCGTCAGGAACTCGCCGTGTCCGTGACTGGCGTGAATAGACGTGAGTGCAACGTCAGCATTCCACGGTGGACTTTGATTCAATCACAGCTTTCGTGTCCAACAAATGGCGACGGTCAATGTCACTTGCTTAGGTTTTGAAAGTGGTCTATTCCTCCTATGTTCACCAGGTACATGGGTATGAAACTCAGCACCCTTGGAGCATAAAGTGGCTTCTTTTCTTTTAAGATATTAGTTTTATAGTCCCAGCCACGCTCGAGGTTGCACATAGGTAAAAAAGTGGTGCGCCTTGCACCGGCAACTCAAATCAGTGGGCGCATCTTCTCATGTTCTCTGTCCATTACGCCGACCGATAAGTTCAGGGTGGGGGGGGGGGGGGGGGAATCATGAAACACCATCTAAGGAGGCAAAGAGGGCTGTAAAGGGAAGAGCGAAATCACAAGGCGTACGGTCAGCAAGTGATCGCACTGTCAGGTTTTTTTTGAGCCGGCCAAATAATCTTCGCCAGCAGCCGACGGTACAAGAGGGCGTGCCACCCAGTACCCATTGCAGTTGACAGCGGCAGAATCAGGGAATGTAACAAAAGAACTTGATAGCTCGAGCAGCGTAGTAGTGTTGTATGGGCGCTTTTAAGGATGTTTGAAAATGATTCAACTAAAAAAGGAGTTAAACTAACGAAACTTACTTTAATGAATATGCACGAAGCAGCATTTCATGAGAGGAGGTTCTCCCCATCGAATACGTCGGTTTCGCCTCCTATTCTAATTTTTTATAGATGCATTTCTACGACGGTTGATGTCAAGGTGACGTGGAAAGCCTGGGGTGACAACATAGTGAACCAGGACATAAGGTCAAGCGGTGGTGTAAAGAACCTGGGCATTGCTCTCTGGAGGTCCAGTGTCCTTCTGCAGAGGACTGTGACCGAAATGGCATCGAATGTCAGTTTTAACAAGGACAGCAGGCTGCCTCTGACACCCAAGAAAGCGGCATTCCTAAGAGGCAAGTGCAAACTATCTCACGTAACAGTAATCTAAGCAGTTATTGGAAAAATCTTCTCAATCAAAGGCAGTATGTTGGCAGCTAGTTGGTATTATACTGGGAGTTCAAAATGTTTCGCTGGTCTTTGGATGTACCGCATAAAACTGAGAGGATTGAGCACACAGCTGTGACATAATGGTGGAAGCTTTCAGTAAAACTATAGGAAGATTAGGTAGCCTCGGTAAAACACAAATGCTATATTTTTATACTTTTCGTGCCAACACCCGATTTATTAATTTCTTTGTGCCACTGGTCTTTATTTTGGCTATACGAAGTAAGCAATGCGGAGGGCATTTCCTTTTTATTACAATCATTTGCAGTTGCAATACATGCTACAGTGGCCCTGAGTAAACTCTGACGTCTTTACCAAGAAAAAAGGCTCTGCGAACATTTCTTCTCGAGAAGAGAATTGTTGCAATTTGCAACAATTCTTTTCTTTCTTCTTCTTTTTGACGCAGGGGGGTTTTTGTCCTTATCTTTAAAATGCTGAAACCACCGCTTTCAGGCATTCTCTTGTAATATATCAGCGAAATATGCCCATTTATCTGGTCACTTCAATGTGCCCATGGAACATTGTTAACTCCCAGTAGGTATTGTGTAAAATTACAGTAGCTCAAAGTACTTGTCATGCAGTGGCAAACAAAAGCAGGGTTATAATGTGATGTATATTAGTGCTCTCAATGACTGGTAGGATGTTTCAACACTCTTAATCCCTCTTTCTAAACTGAATTTTGCATCAGCATGGTACTTATTTTTTTAATGGTTTTATCTTGGCTTGCTCAAACATTAGATAGGAGAGGGGCGGGCACCTTATGTTGTGTCTCAAACACGCGGCCCGCTTGGCGTTTGCTAGCACCCCGTGTAGTCAGGCATAAGTGTAAAAAAATTACATTAAGGGTATAACCAGCATTTTTTTCTGGGGTTTTTGATGGTGGAAAACGGTGACGTTGTGACGGTATCTTTCATAAGCCCAATACTTGTCAAAACCAGGAACTGGACATAAAAAGCTTTAAAATGGCGATGATTGCGAATTGCTATAGAGTCAAAGCAACTTATGTCAAACTCGCAAAAAAATGTCTACCAGTTCGATATAGCGGGTAATTCTACATGAAAGTTCGAATGAATCAGACATCAAACAAACACGACATATTTAGAAAAGTTGTTTACTCTCAAAGGAGCGTCTGTACGTTATAAGGGACGCTCCACGTGGCTATTCAGTGGCCGCTTCTTCGTTTTTTAAGATCTCACCGGCTCATCCTCTCCCCACTTCCGGGCAATCGACGCGGTTCCCCCCCCCCCCCCCCCCCCCACCAAAAAGAAAAAAAAAAAAAACGAACTTTCTCTGCAAGCTGGCTTTCTCCGAATAGCAGTGTGTTGGGGGAAAGCCAGCTTGCAGAGCTAAACGGCGCTCTTGGCAGTTTTATCTATCGGTAGACGCTGCAATTTTCGTTCGACGTAACCGCATTTTTCGCTATGCATTTTTGTATCAGCTACTAGTCTGTTCACAAAAAGTTTGACACAAGGGATAGTTCGATCTAATCGGGTTCAGCATCATACTGAATGTGCCATTTTAATTCGAACGTAATTTTTTTTTTAAAAAGGGCGAGAGATTTGTGGGGCTCCGCGGACATAGATTACGGGGATAAACGTCACAGTATGTTGACTAATTAACCCAGATTTGTTGATTAACTTTTTAATTATTGATCGTATAGGGCATGTTGCAATTGCGTTCTTCAAGTGCGTCATTGTTAAAGGCTATTCCAAAAGAAACTGTTCATGAAAGTGATGTGGCATGTGATTTTAATGAACATTTGTTTGAGCCTTACGTCTACAAATTGTGCTCCTTTAAATATTTCCTCACTGCATTTTTTTTCAGAATGCCTAGTGATGAAGCTCCGTGGCAAAAAGCACCATGCAGATGTCATTGCTGTGATGTCGACGACAGCAAAAGGGAACCACATACTGGGAGAAAAGATGAACGACCGGCGAAAGCTAGAGAAATGAAGAGGCAAGCAGTAAATAACGACAGAACCAACCGGTTCTTGGCGGTGGCCTGCAGTGAAATACCGTGTCAAGCATGCATTCCCCCACAGGTTCCCACACAGATTGCCCACAGAGCATGGGGTTATGAAACCCTATGGGTTACCCACATGGTTCCCACAGGACTTTGGTCCTACACAGCTCCCATAGGATCTCTGCCGGACCCACACAGCTCCCGTAGCACCACACAAACTGTGCGGGGACCCATGGGGACCTATACACCCACACACTGTGGGGACCCGCACACTCAAACAAACTTTGCGGGGACCCATAGGGTCCCGAACACCCATTCAGCTAGCTTCTCGGGAGAGACACCTTTGCAAAGGGCAACAGTGGCAGCAAATTGCTTAGGTTTGTGGTCCCCGTGGAGAGAACGGAGGAGCCTCCAAACTTTGGAAAGATGGCTAATGCCTGAGATGGAGCTGCACAGGGAAGTCCAGCAGTTCGAAGCGAGTTCGGAAGTGTAGCACGAGGTAATCTTTTGGAGTTTACGTGATGGCTTGAGGAGACGTCGTGGTCTGCGAGAACGGCGGTAACGGGAAAACAGGCGAAGGCGAATATGGCGGTCCAGTAAGTAAATGCTCGTCAGCTGCAGGGTTGTCAACCGGTACGGCTAGCCGCTTTATGGCAGACTTGTGGGCGGACTGGATGGCTCGTATAATGTTGTAAAAGTCAGCAAGTTCCCTGACGGAAGAAAGAGCTACTCGGACCTTATCCCACTTAGTGAAGAATGTGTCGCTGTGGGCGCGGCAGTGAGATGGGGTTGCGGATAGGAAGTCGTAGTGTAAAATAATGGGGAGGTGATCACCGCCGAAGCGGTCGACGGTGACCTGCCGTCTCCAGCGTCGAGGGTAACGAGCACAGGTAAAGTCGGGGCAGGTGTCGTGCTGTTGGGAGGATTGGTCGATACGTGTGGGGGTGCGTGGGATGTTGAGGAACGAAAGTTTCAACTCTGAGGTCCGCAAGAAGCCGCATGCCGTGTGGAAGGTCAATTTCGTAGCCCCATGCGTGTGTTTGGCATTAAGATCACCGCATACGAGAATGTTGTCTTTTGGATAAAGACGGGCGAAGTGCTTAAAAAAAGAATGTTTAGCGGCAGCCTTGTCTAGCGATTTAGAGACGTGTCTTAGGCCACATAGACAGAGAAGAGAAAAACGGGCCGTTGAGGAGTTGGCGGCAACCCGTAACGCTGCTCAGTGAAGGGCACCTCTGTGAGGTGTCGAGAGGAGTGAAGCACACTGATCGATGAACGTACAGGGCGGAACGAGTCCAAGGCAAGGGGGCACTAGTCTCAATGTTCGGAGCAAGTCAATCGTACTGTGGCAAAGCAGGGAGGGGGCCGTTGATTTCTTGTAGAACAAACGCAGCGGCCATGTCGGATAACGAGTGAAGATGAAATTTTTCGATGAAGTTTGTCTTCTTGTGTTTAAGCGAGCAACAGTTCCAATGAACAATCCTGGGGGCGCTAACCATGTTTGCGTGATGATAGTGGGGGGCCGCCGAACGGAATGATGCCCTGCACCGTTTACGAAGCCACAAGACTGCAGCTCTAGGCTCGACTGAGCAGTGACTCACTTGTGAAATTGCACAGCAAAGCACAGACCTTCCAGATAGAATCCAGGCTCTTGCTCATACTGTTTGGGAAGGTACCCCTCAAGATTAGAAAACACTTCATTTGTCCGATCACTCGTTCCACGAGGATTCGAACCTTCGCTATCGCCCTACTCTTCGCTTCGTCCTCCAAGGAGAATTGTGGCCTTCCCCCAAGGAAAGGTGGAATGTTGAGATTAGCCCCTGCAGCTTCGACCTCTTCAGTGATCAAAAAGCCTCTGTCTGCCATGACAGAGTCTCCGGGCTCAAGAAGGTTGCATATCCCGGAATATGCGGTCAGGGCTTTGTCAGAGACGCGGCCGGGGGCAATGTCGCTCAAAGACGACACAAACCCATTGGGGGTGATGCCCAGCAGTCCCTTGGCAGTGTTGTGGCACTTGTAGCTTAAGTAGGTATCACTCTGCACCCTGAAGTCGCTGGGTGTCTCGATAAAGATTTCCGTGCAATCCAAAATGACTCGACGATGGATATGCCTCGATGAAGCACTCCGGCATGTAGTTGTTCACAACCTGTCGCGACGGCGAGTACTTGAGCTGAGCAAGGTAGTCCGCCAGGTAACCAATCCAGAATGTCCACACCCGGCTGACTGTGCTGATGTGGATACGAAACCGGTATGCAAGGTACTGCTCCAGAAGCCCCACCCTCAGGCGGGACAACACAAGCAGCAGCTGATCATCCATGAATAGATAAGGTGACTTTTTCTGCGGACCTTGACTTTCCTTGTGAGCTTCATAACCTGCCTGAAGAAACTTGTAAAAGACGAGAAATCTCTCGAGGGGAGTCGAATCCCATGTAGAAGGCAAGTTTCTTTGGGTCCTGTTGCACGGCGGTGAGCGTGAAGCTCTGAAAGGGGATTGTAGCATAGATGACCTCCCTCCGCTTTGTCATACATCTCCTCAAGATGGGCTTCTTTCTTCCGCAGAGCTTCATTTTCTTTCTGTAGACAATCATTGGCCTTGCGCAGCTTCTCGTTTGCAGAAGCGAGCTCATCTAGCTGCCTCATGCGATCACGCAGGGCTTGATCGATAGATCCTGTGATGCTGTACTGGTGGTCTGTCAGATAGGGAGATAGCAAAATACAGATCACATCATTTTTGCAGTCAAATATCAAAACAGAAGACTACGCTTTGTCCCTGTAATTGACTTGGCTCTGCCAAATAGCATATCATGTGCCATACAAAAAAGCATCACACGTTAAAGGGGCCAAGAAACGATATGCACTTGGATATTCTTCACCTCATACAAGCATACTGACGTCTTTGGCACGAATGTAATTATATTATAATCTATAGACCACAAGTCAGAGGCTTCCCTGCCAAGGGTATATTCTGAGGAATAGAAGGCTATTTTACAGTCAGGAATCACAATTTTGACAAATCCTAGGGTTCACACCAGGGTGACGACACTTGAATAGCGACGGCTTATGAACTGGACACAAGCACTGAGTGAGCACCTGACTATTTGGTTACAATCAATGCCATGGTAAATATTGGGGCTTGGGCTTGTGTCTAATCACTGCGCCAATAGTAGCAGCTGACCCATAACAGTAATCATGTGATTATTTTACCTGGCTGTGAGGAAGTGCAGAATATTGCTTGTTCTCAAGCTTTTTTTGTGCGACAGCAGCATTTAGCAGAAGTAACTGAGTCGGTTCATGACCTCTTTAATTTAGACGGTGGTTTTAAAAGTGCAAAGAACTAAGAAGAGAAGGAGGGGAAAGGACAGGGCGCTTTGTCCTGTCGCCTCCCTCTCTTCTTAGTTTAAAACCACTGTGTGGCAACTAGCCCCCCAATTAATTATGATGCAACCTCTTTAATGCAGCTCTGTTAGACACGAATGAACTATAATGGGGAATGCTGGTTATTCGCCTCGAGAAACGATTGTCACAGGTGCTGCGGGGAAATGCAGAACTAAGCTTTGTTCTACACTTACGTGGAACACAGAGAATGTTGCGGACGCTAACTCGAAGTCTTGAGAGGCTCCGGTGCAGGGTTCGCGCGCATGCATTGGAGTCAACTGCAAATCCTAAGAGCATGCATAGCCTTGCCCGTGCTCCATAAAAAAAGTGGGGATGGTTTTTTTTGTGGACGCCAGAGAGTCGCCGCTTGTCTTGTAGGAAACAATGGATAAACAAAAGCATATGTCCCCACTTTTCAAACTGGATCTCGTGGCAATTAACATGTAAGCAAGTCTGTGGCAGCATCTCCTTTGTACCTGGCAGACAACGAAGTGAGCGTCTGAACGCAATCTGAAAGAACAACTCCGCAGGTACCTTGCATGTGCGGTATCTTAGAGTGTATCGTGCCATATGGTGCTGCGAGTCTGGAAAGGCCACAACTTGCGTGCTATAGCCAGCGGTGACTGCGTTAGTACAGTTTGTAAAGTTCAACATACTGCATGTTAGTGTTCCATGCACCTATCGGGACAGCTGCACAGTTCACAAGGATGCCAAATAAACAGACGAGCTACACTGATGCTCAATGCTAGCCCCGCTCCAAAAACCCGCAGACCCATGGGGTTATGAAACCGTGTGGGTCCCACAGAAATTGTGTGGGTGTTCGGGTCCCTATGGGTCCCCGCACAGTTTGTTTGGGTGTGCGGGTCCCCACAGAGTGTGTGGGTGTATAGGTCCCCATGGGTCCCCGCACAGTCTGTGTGGGTCTACGGGAGCTGTGTGGGTCCTGCAGAGATCCTATAGGAGCTGTGTAGGACCAAAGTCCCGTGGGAGCCGTGTGGGTAACCCATAGGGTTTCATAACCCCATGCTCTGTGGGCAATCTCTGTGGGAACCTGTGGGGGAATGCATGCTTGACACCGTATTTCACTGCAGACCATTGCCAAGAACCGGCTGGTTCTATTTTTATTTACCGATTGGCTCTTCATTTCTCTTGCTTTCGCCGGTCGTTCATTTTTTCTCCCAGTATGTGGTTTACTTTTGCTGTCCTCGACATTACAGCAATGACATCTGCATGGTGCTTTTGGCCACGGAGCTTCATCATTAGGCATTCTGAAAAATATGCAATGACAAAATATTTAAAGGAGCACAATTTGTAGACGTAAGGCTTGAACTAATGTTCATTAAAATCACATGCCACATCACTTTCATGAACAGTTTCATTTGGAATAGCCTTTAATAATGACGCTCTTGAAGAATGCAATTGGAACATGCCCTATAAAATCAATTAAAAAGTTAATTAACAAATATGGGTTAATTAGTCAACATATTGTGACGGTTAACCCCTTATCTATGTCCGCCGAGCCCCACAAATCTCTCGCCTTCTTTTTTTAAATTACGTTCAAACTAAAATGGCACATTCTGTATGATGCTGAACCCGATTATATCGAACTTTGTATCAAACTTTGTGAACAGACTAGTAGCTGCTATAAAAATGCATAGCGAAAAATGCGGTTACGTCGAAGGAAAATTGCAGCGTCTTCCGATTGATAGAACTGCCAAGAGCGCCGTTTAGCTTTGCAAGCTGGCTTTCCCCCAGCACGGAGACGCATTCGGGGACAGCCAGCTTGCAGAAAAAGCTTGCCTTTTTTGGGCGGGAGGGGGGGGGGGGGGGGGGGGGCAACCGCGTCGCGAATGCGCATTTCACATTCTAGGAAGTTTAGCAGCTGATATGGCTCCACCTCAGCGGGCTCTTTAGCAGCTGCCTCAGCGGATGCAGGTCCGACTGTACCAGCTGCTCCATCTAAGGTTGCAGGTATTGCAGCTGCACCACCGAAGGCTGCACCTGTGTTGCACATGCTCTGCATCACAGGAGCTGGTGCTGCTGCCACTTATTTTGTGAAAAATATAAAAAAAATATATGACATGAGTCAGAACAATGTGCAGGACTGCCACATGATGTGTGTAATGCTACAATAAAAGCTGAGAGTGGGAGTGGGGTCGACCAACCACCCACCAGCTTGGAGCAATGCGGCTGCACTCCTGCCCGTGTATACATGGAGAGCAGTGCCACATAACACAAGGGTGATTGCAGTTTGGTCCAGCCCATACGCAGCTTCTATGACACTGTCAGCCAAAAACTTAATAGGTATAGTAAGGGTCGTGGACATGACATTTATGATGCTTTAGCTTGTCAAAGAGAGTATGTTGAATGCATACCATGCTCCTGCAGTCAATTATTCGAGGTTAGGAAATAGCACGGAATATTTTTCATAAATATCTACTGCAAAGCTTTGCAACTCAGGAGTGTTCTGAAGAGTTTTACAGATTATAGCTTCTTGACTACACGGCTTGATAGACCGAGTAAAATGTTTTTGGGCATAAGTGAGGCAGAGATGTACAAGAATCGATGCAAAAAGTCCGCAGTACGTGGAGACCAGAGTTCGGAACAGGTGTGACAGCATTTGGCACGACCAATATGCCAATGTCATTATTTATTTTCGCAACATTAAAATGACCCTGAAAATGCGACCAGCTATGGGGTGTATTCACGCAAGTCTTGTGAGTGTTGAATTTTAGGTACAGCTCCTGGTTGTGCCCTTGTGCGATATATGACAAAATATTATAGATATTAATTCTGGAAACTTCTCTGAAAACCAATGGGCACGGTGGCGAAGGACGTGAGAGGCACTGTTTACCACTCTTGCCGTTCGTTTGTGTTTGTGTGTTGTTACTTATGCCCGAGTCCCACTAGAGCGACAAACAGAAACAGACGACACCGACAAGCCTTCAACACATGCGGTATCCTCGCGATGGTATACCTTTGGCAGGCGTTTATAGTCGTTCGGTGCTCGTGAAATGACCCCGGGTGATTGCAAGCCTGCCGAAGATACCCTCGCGTGCGTAATACTTGTATCCGAGTGTAGCCTCTTTTATTCTATGCACAAGCCTGTGAAATCGCGACAGAGACTCTGGTTTGAGGCTCGTCGCTGTCGTTTGTTTCTGTATTGTCGCTCTAGTGGGACTAGGGGCTAACAAGCGCACCAATGGGAAGGCTTTAGCCATTATTGGAAACACTAAATAAAGAAATACAAAAAAATACAATACCCAGCAACACTGCATGCAAGTAGTGATGCACTTCTGTTGTCAACTGTGCATTCCGCTTACGAATGAAATGTGCAATTTCCCTAGAGGCTTTCATTCCAGGCGAGTGGCATCAGAATTGCTGAAGGCCAGCCCATAAACACAGTCTATGTTAAAACAATCCCAGCAGCAATAAGTTGCTATTGCTGCTGGGGGGCCCAATATATAGAGCACCTTACCATAAACAGCCTTGGCAGTCTCCCATGAAGCCTGGACTTCAGCAGAGGAGACTGTCATCCTGTGTCGTCCCAGGACACTCACATCGGGATGGTGAAAGTGAATGCCAACTTCTGCTTGGCAAGGGCTGCAGTAAGTATAAAGATGAAAACAGAGTACAATATACAATAAAAAATATTGTGGACCAACTTGAAAAAAGTGCACAAAAAAAAAAAGACAAGGACAAAAGGACTGGAACACGTAGAACACAGACAGGTGCACACTAGCAACTCA